TATATAATCAGGAGTGAAGACAAACCAATACTTTTGAGTAGAAATTTGCCATGAAACATGAACCAATTTAGCCCACTGGAATCAATGTTCCATGCTGAGCACTTCTGCCATCTATCATAAACAGAGGTTCTCTCCACCAATTGCCAATAATATGTGATGAAAGGAAAGAAAATTTGCGTCTGTCCTTGCAATTCCCTGCCCACCCTCTAAAAACCTGCATCTCTGCTACGATTCCATGTAAAATCCCATTCTCAGTCCACAAAACCATTTCCCTTACAACCATGCAATAACTGCATAATATCAGGAGTAGATAATAGAAGATCTTCTATTATCTACTCCTGATAATATCAAGAGAATACCTTAGTATTATTGGCTCTTGATAACATATATATATACATACATAAACTTTTGCTCTCATTTGCTCATGTTTATTGTGTTAAGCTGGGTTTACACTACCGACTTTATGTTGGCGAATTGGCGAGTTGGACCAATTTTGCAATTCGGCAACTCCAAGTTGACGAAAATATAACATGTTCTAATTTCCCAACTAGTTGCTATCAATCGGTTGGTTGCGCAACTTTTTTGTTTACATTGCCGATTGTCAGTTGTATAGTTGGGAAGTTGGTCCAACTCGCCAACACAAAGTCAGTAGTGTAAACCCAGCTTTAGTAAGAGAAAGTGCTCACTACTAACTGGTTGGTAACCTACCTGTGGCTCATTGTACCAGATTGCACAGCCGCCTTGTGAGGTCAGTCGGCTGTTGTTACAGCTCTTGCCCCTGCTAGGACATCCATGGTACCAAACCTTCTCCGGTACAGCAGAGACGAGAGAGATCGCTAATCCCATCCTATGCAAGGACAAGGCATCAATATATCTTGAGACTATACAATTCACGTTTATCTTGCAAACATAAACAGCACTGTATTATGAACTACACACATATCCTGTTTTTAGCTCATCTGACATAGTCAGATGCAGCTTGTAGAATCGCATGATCGTCCGTCCGTCCGTCCGTGCGAGCGTCCGTCCGTCAACAGTTGGGCACAATCTTAAGCCGTCGACGTACGTCACGATATTCGGACGTGGGGGTAATCCGAAAACGAGTTGGATGTCGAGCTGCGGGGTCAAAGGTCAAAGGTCAAGAGGGTGTAAAAGAGAGGGGAACATTCACTCCTTAACTTAAGGTATAGGGAGCGAATGCCAGATTGCGGCACAATCTAAACGGCTCGACCTAGGCTCGTGATAGTCGGGTATAGCATCATGGTAGGAAAAAAGCATCACTGTGCCGAAATTGCGAGCGCTCACAGGTCAAAGCGTCAATGGGCACCACGGCAGATTTTAGACATTTTCTGAGGGACATGGTCTGACGGAGCGATTTGAAACCTTTTTTGTTTCAGCGTGACTAGCATTTTTATGGCTTATTAAAAGGGACCATGAAATGACCGTTTGCTGACATGCGAAGAGTAAGTGTCGGATAACCTTTTTGACCCTCAAGAGGAGGTGTTAAACATGGAGTTGTTTACTGTCTGTTAGAAAGAATTTGACTGCCGGGTTTCGCTAGTAGATCTATACGTGCCTGGATGTATGAGGCTACAATGTCACAGTGAATTTCAAAGCTAAATTTGGTTGAAGAGTTTATGCTCCTTAATCGTATAATTTCTATGGCATTCTGTACTGTCAGTATGTTACATGTAACCGTATGCCACTGCCAGTGGCCACTGCCAGTGCATATGTGTGTGGTGTTACTGTGTAGTTTTGCCTGCGTAATTGGTTATAGGTGCGCAGCTCTCTATTGCAGCCTGTAGGCTTGCGTAGGTAAATGGATGAGTGCTTACCTATTCTGTTTGCAAATAGTTGTTGTTACTACGTACGATGGGAGCTTCCATCTTTAATCTGAAGACACTTAACGTACGCGGCCATCTCGGAGGACACTTTTATACGATCCCAACGAACATTCCTTGAGGAGGTTCTGATACCATCCCTGCTGCATTCCACTGTTTCGGCGTGTATGTGACACATTTGGGACTAACAGGGTTTACTAGAATCCACCACTCCACACAGAGTCACCGCCAGTAGACGTTAGATGAGCGCTGTCGCTCCGCGGCACTTGTTGGTATAATATGGTGATATTTGTTTCTCGTGTGCAGAATTATGAGTAAATTTTTGTCAACTATATATATGTCATCCAGTAGTGATGGTTATCAGGGCATTTAATATGATAATACTATTGTGTACAAAATACCTCTCAGCCCTGCCAACTCGCTCAATACGATGAAGGTAGTTGGCTTTTTCATCTGGAGGGCGGCAATGTGACATTCACAACTAAAATGAAAATATAATGTATATATATTAGTGCATGTTTGCTGCATTGTGAAACCAGCATTACTACATTCAAAACTGTTAGCTCGTACGTGGCCACAATCACGATTAAGATCTTTATATCTTCTTCACAATGCAGCTTTTTATTATTTAGCTTGAGATCGCGTAAAATAATTCATGTAACACTGAATATTAAAGTACACAAAACACAACAAAGGCACTAAACTTATATAGCGTTCATTGCGTGGTATTTCAGCAGCTACGCAATTAACATAAAATACGCAATTAACTCTCCAAATCCGAACGCCATCTGAATCTCGTGTTAAACCAGAAGATTTTTGATGTCCAACCATTGAGACATATACGATGTTGCGCCTCGAACAGACCCCCTATAACGAACTTCACAGAAATCCAGACCTACAACAGACGATCCCGATGGTGCGTGGTATTGGGAGAGTTGACTATAATAGAGTTTAGGAAATCTAAAATGCAGTGCAATTCTATAAATAAGCAATCACTGTAATTCAGGCTATGCACACTGACAGTTAATTAAATTTCTTCTCGACATTGCTGATCTTACCAAAAGGAATTCCTTGCACGTCTATGCACGTGCCCGCAACATCAGTGCGATCATGTTATTTGACTTTTATGTTCGCTGGAAAAATGAACAGGGGCTTTGCTTAGCTGCTTGCTTACCAGTTAATTTAAACCAACATCGAGTGAAGTAGTTTATAATCGATTTAATGCCTTACAATATGCAGACATCTCTCTCTCTCTCTCTCTCACTCACTCACTCTGTATTTGGAAGTTGTATTGTAACACAGGTAAACATACAAAATGGCCGTAAAACTATGTAGGACACGTACCTAAACCATCTCTCTCTCACTCACTCTGTATTTGAAAAGTTGTTATTGTAACACAGGTAAACATACAAAATGGGTTAAAAACTATGTAACCACGTACCTTGAACGCCTCTAAGTTTGCCTTTCTCTCATGCGGTTTCCTATCCCCATGTAAACATACACAGGAGAACTCATCACTTTTACCTGAAATAGTTTAGCACATGAATATTTGAATGTTCTACTAACATGTCCTTGTGGCTACCTCGATATTCCTCCATATTGCCCTTAAAACTTTGAGATTTTTATTCCTACACCTTTGAAATTAAACCAGTTTTGCTATAGATTTGAATTACATGAATTGTGTTTGAAAATGTTGGGAATTTTCAAAAATGTCATCCAAACAGGCTCTACGCTATATGTCCATGTCACGCCCACCCATTTTTTAGACACATCACACATTGCTTTCATTAAAAATCATAGTGGGGATTAGTCTCCAATTTAATATTTAAATGTTGTTTCAAAATTAAATGTTATTTAATTAAAACAACTATTAAATTGATTAAATGTTTAAATTTTGTACTCAAGGACTAACAAAATGCCATACGTGCACAGCAACTCCCAATAGAACCTCGTATATACCTCCCAGTTGCTTAATATAGTTCTCCAGGTTGTCACAGTCCACCTTGGTGCGGCAAAATATGAGAGCCTGGTCCATCTTGTGCGTGCGGAGAGCCTTCACGACGTAATCGGCTTTGAGCAGCTTGACAGCTTCGGAGAGAGTCTCCGGCGTGTTGGTTCCTGGCCGCAGGTTATCCTTGGCGTGGATCCCGTCCGTCTACACACACAGCGATGCTGTCGTTAGCTTCCTGCGAGCACTTTACTTACCTCCATCACCCCTAGCAGAGCATGGACTATTGGTGAGTCGCCTCTACCACACTCTACTCTATGGTGACCTCTCCAACTCATTTCACCCCATGCTGGTTCTATTGGCAGTTACCTCCACCCCATCTCCCATATCTGTGTGTTATGTGGGCACCCTCTCTTTCTTTTTTCTCGTGGGGACAAAGACGTAGAAGCTAGATTGCCTGGTGATATTGGTGGGTGGAGTGGTGGTGGGTGCTTTCGGAGAGTGTTGGCTTATAGTTCCCTAGGCCACCTAATTCTCCTACAAACCTCCTTCCAATGGATCACTGGATTTTAATTCGCATCAATATGTGTTTACATCTCAGATGCATCGCATAACACTGTTCTGCTTTCACGTAAAATAATGAAAGCACACAAGTGTTTTGGACAGGCTATTGTCATCACATGCTGATTGGCTGATATGAGACCACTGGTCAAGTTGATTCTGACCGATTATCGAATAACAACAATAATTCTACCCCGAACAGAGAGTTTGGATTTACTTTTATCATACATACCAACCAGAAAATAACAATGAAAATTCAAAGCAAATGCATCCAATTTTGTCAAACACCTGCGCACATTTTTTAACAACCAACGCACGCATTCGACGTGCGTAGACCCCCACAGTTACATTCCATAACCTATTACATACGCTCACCTGCACATGCCTTCTGGCATTTTGCCAGGATGTGTCAGATGTGGGGTCAATCTTGCAGACGACATGATGCACAGTCTCAGGAATGCTGTCTTCTCCCTTCAGATCCACCCACGTCGGAAAATGCATGATAGTGTTCTGCACGAATCAATGAATATGCTATCACGTTTATAACATCCATTTATCTATAAGTACAACGACAGCTGTAGACTTCCAACAACATATAAACATTTATAACATATGTATCTATCTACTAGTACAACAACAGTAGTACACTTTAACACCTTGACTTTAAAGGACACATTTATCATTTCCCTTGAGTAGCAGTTACACAGTCACATCATGCACCTCTATAGAACGGACACTTAACTGTAAAGTAGTACACGTTTAGCATGTCTTTTAAGTGACCCTTATGTACAGGTTTGTCTGTACCGGTCAACTAGCAAGACACAGGACCAATATATCACACGTGCATGCGCTAGTTGTGACATCTATAGTTCTATACTCTATACTAGTGATATTTCTCTATTCTCTATTCTGCTCTATACTCTATACTAGTGATTTTGCTCTATTCTCTATTTTGCTCTATACTCTTTACTAGTGATTTTTCTCTATTCTCTATTTTGCTCTATACTCTATACTAGTGATTTTGCTCTATACTCTATACTAGTGATTTTGCTCTATACTCTATTTTGCTCTATACTCTATACTAGTGATTTTTCTCTATTCTCTATTTTGCTCTATACTCTTTACTAGTGATTTTTCTCTATTCTCTATTCTGCTCTATACTCTATACTAGCGAGCCCTCGTTACTCTTACTATTGATTTTGCCTCTATACTGCGGTATAACTAAGTGATGGTTCTCATGATACTCCCTATACTAGTATTTTTTTTCTGCATGCCAGGCCCCGAGATAGCAAGTGACTCACCTGCGACCGGCGGACGGGGTTTTTCACTTCGTAACGGAATGAGCAGGTCCGTGGCAGAGCAGTACGGATCATCTCAGTCGGCTGTCCGATCCGCGTCACTTTCTCGGGATTCTGTCGGGCAAGCGCGGATTGTCATATCCTTTGTACCCCGCTGCTCTCGAGCAGCTCCATCCGCTCATCAGGATGAAGAACCGCACCTGGTACAGCAACAGTTACCTGTATGAAGCTCTGAGACCTGTGTTAACCAAACAGTTACCTGTATGTGACTCCTACACCTGGGTGTAACAACATTACCTGTTATGAACTCTTACTACCTGTGTAACAACAGTTACCTGTATAAACTCTACCACCTGGTAACGAACAATTACCTGTATGAATCTACACGCTGCTGAACAACAGTTACCTGCTAAGTGAACTCACCCCTGTGTAACAACATGGTTACCTGTCCATGCACACTTCGTCCACCACCCTGCTATAACAACAGTTACCTGTATGACACTCTATCATCCTGCTGTAACAAACAGTTACCTGTATAAACTCTAACCTGTGGTAACAACATTACCGTATGAACTCTACACCTGGTGTAACAGCTATGTTAACCTGATGTACTTCTTAACCTGTGCGTAACACAGTTAACGCTGTTATGAACTCTACACCTTTGTAACAACTAGTATAGCCTGTATCGAACTGCCCTACACCTGTGTTAACAACAGTTACCTGTCAGTGAACTCGATACCTGGGTAACAAGACAGTTAACCTGGTACCGAACGTTACACCTGGCTGTAACAACAGTTACCATGTATGGAACTCATACACGCTGTGGTACAACATTAACCTGATGAACTCTACACCTGCTGTACAAGCAGTACCTGGTCATGAATCCTACACCTGAGTAACACACAGTTTACCTGTATGAACTCTACACCTGTGTAACAACATGTACCTGATTCTTCATGAACTCTACGACCTGTGTAACTAACGAGTTTACCTGATGATGAACTCACACGCTGTGTCAGCACGGCATAGGACAACAGTTGCCCTGTCATGAACAGCTGTTATTCACCTGAGCCTAAAGAAGCAGTTTTCTGTAGAGATGAAATCTTCCAGTCTGACCAGGAGATCCCACAAACTATATCTTACCTGAAAAGTCTATAATAAGCAGCTACATATACGAATGCTTTATGCTAGCTGTTGCCCACAATGCTACTGACTGTACTAGAGGGACCTAATTATGTTATTTATGTAAATACAAATAAATAGAAACAGCCGAAATAGGCAGTATCGCTTAGCAACCGCCCCTTCTTAATCGTGTCCATTTCTCATCGGAAGCTGAAAATGAAACCCAAATACGTCGATATATATCTATCCTTATCATAGGCATATAATGACAAATTGAACGATTTCATGATCTACCCCTGCCTACTCTGTTATACTTTGGCCAACGGAGAACGAGTGAAATGCCACCTGCTTACCTGATAAAGCTTGTCTAAACTGCTGCCTGCACACTGACTCCGCCAATCACCAGCAACATCTCGTCAGAACAAACATTATAGAATCCGAAGATCTCAGGTGATAAAAGTGTAACTGTTAACACACGTGACAATGCATGCACTGTGAACCTGAGACAGGTTTGCGTGATAGTAGTAAAATAGTGCCCACAATACGAGAATCCGACTAACAGAAAACAATTGAAATATTTCAAAAAAAAAAGATACGGGCTAAATGTATTCTGGAACCTGAAATACCTTGAAACAGAAGATTTCAGGTGTTTTTTAAACTTCCTGAACTGTTCTCGTATGTCTGTTCAGCTAACTCCCAGAGGCTGCAAACAATACAGTTGAACATTTTGCATACAAATCAACAAAAATTCCAAAAACAGTCAGCTATCCTGCACGTCGATCACTAAGGCACACGCAACCTTCTTTATTATTATAGCTAGAATTCTGTTGCAAGATATTCGTGCCAGAAGTATTAGAACTTTCCCGTGAGTTCCAACAGTTGCAACGCGATGGCTTGTGATAATAATCAAGCTCATTCGAAAACCATATGGTTTTGCAACAAAATCACCGATTTACAGAGAAAAAGCTACAATAGACAAACCGTTAAACAATTTCATGAAAGTGGAGATAAATAATTAAATGCATAAAATAATTCATAGAGGTTATCAATTTTTTTGGATTGAGACAACACAAATAGAGAAAATAATAAAAACTTTGAAGAACAGTCATTCAGTTCATGCAATTATAGGCATTACGAAAGAGCTAAGGTTGTCCTCAGATCTACCATGCAGAATAGAGTAGTTTAATCCAATATTGATCGACTTCCATAAATTCACTATAACTAAAGTGATAAATGCCAGTCTCACGCTATAGATCATCGCCTGTGGAGCAAATTGGAGCTGGCTTGCTGACAGCGCTCCTGTCGCTGTTGCCAGACACTGTCCTGCTGTTCTTTAGGTATGCGACTAAATGCTGTGTATCCCGGAGAAACAGGAAACTTAAATGTTCCCACGAATGATTAAATTTCATCTCTGCACTTGTACAAAAGAGTTTGAGGCATCAATTGAGGAAGTCCACAAACCGTGCATCTGAACAAAACAGCATCAAGATTTGTTTTATAAAACATTCTTACTATCTTCGCTACAACTTTGAATGATGCAATGAAATTTTACTTGTCAGTCAACACGCATACATCCATCAGCATATGCTCATGCAACAATACCTGCATAAAGACACTTCCTGACGTGAAGTAAAGCATGTAGTGAGATAACATGGATATAATCTTCAGCTATATTCAGCTTTATATGCCTTAGTTACTTCCCGTCAATCGTGGCAGCCGTGTTTCACATTATACACCTTGAGCCTGACAAGCAGCAAAAAAACGCTGAGCTTTGAAGATTCTGTGGGAATTACAAAAGCATCACCAAGTCCTTCCCATTCTTCAGGTACTTCATGACTCCTCGTCTAAGATCTTAGACAGGCAAGCCAATTGCGTATCATCCATGACCATACGCGTTTCGCCATACGGGACGTCAAAACTGCCGCGCCCACAAATGATTCTTTTTCCATATCCACCATAGTGCCAGAAACTCTCCTTTACTGTACCTACAGGAGTTCCAAAAGTACATGAAGGAATTGGAGTGTATGCAGAACTGTAAGGAAAACAACAGTCTTTCATAAACAGAATGTTTTAGCCGTGAACTATAACTATGCTTGTATAATAAACCAGGACTGTTACCGGAGTCTAGTGTTAGCCTTCATTGTAGACCAGACCTACTCACACAAGCCTTCATCTGAGTACAGAAGCCTCAGAGTAATTAATTTACGCTGCAATCCGTAATCAGGCACGCTTTGGGATGAAAAAATTTCGGTCCCCCCATCTGCTTACCCTAGCCTTGAGTATTGTATTGTTTCCACATTCAAGCGGAAAATATTCATTGAAAAAAAATAAATTAACAACCTATAGAGAGCTAACGTTAAGACTTGATCCACTGAAACTATTTTAACAGTTGAGGTCATCTTCTTTTACCTGCAGACAGCACATGGAACACATATAGTGCAAACAAAAATGGCAGAAAAGATTTTGAAAAGCCACGTTCAATAATAAAAAGATTCACATTCAAGTAGTTAATCATCAATGAAATATAATCTCCGCTCTCCTATAAGACAGACAATCAATAACTCTAAAACATGAGTTCAAAGAACCATTATAGCCGTCGCTTCTACAAGGTTAATCCTGTTTTTAGAAATGACACCGAAATTTATATTTATGCATTTGTTGGTACATATCCACACTTACCTACCACTACTTACACCCTACTGTGGACCTACAGCCATGCCACATGATTGCGGCTCTCTGCTCGGAGCAAAGCAAAACCCTCAGATTCAAGCCTGAAAGCAGTGGCCAGTCGTATCACAGTTAATACGATGAATATGCCGGAAGAGGTATAAACGTTAGGCATAAGTTACTGTTCCATGAACGAGAATATGAGTTGTTTCATGCCAAAAAATGTGTGTATGTAGCCGATCAGTCAAAACCCAGAAAGTCTTAAATATAGATGTATCAGCAACCCTCAATATATTAAAATAAAAATAATAAAGATGAGATAATCCATCTCTAAAGTGATGTAAATTAAGTAAGTAATCTTCATTATATATTCCTTTATATGACTTCTTACCCATTGCATCGCCTTCTTTCATATGAACTCAT